AGCCAGCCATGAATTCTGGGAGCTGAAGTCCACGCATCTTAGAGTTGCCGAGGTTGAGAAACACTGCTCTAGTAGGTTGGTTGAGATTATGGGCCAACATTTCTGTGAGTCACCAGGAGAGAAGAATGCTCTGGAGGAGAAATGGCCAATGTGTGGTCTTCCTAATTTGTTGAACTACAACTTCTACCCCCTCTAGCCAACAGGACCAATGATGAGTTAGGAGTTGCAGTCCACTTTGAAGTGGTACATGTCTCGCTCTAATTCTAGAACAATAACAAACTTCTAGAAAATGTGGTTATTATTGATACATTTCTAGGCTTTATGGATACAGCTAGAAAAAAAAAATCCCCAGCAGAATTTGTATGAGGCTCTGTTTCCATGCTCATAAACTCTGTTCTATCCTGTAGGCCTCTGATAGATCTGTACCATCAAATTGGGTAGCTTGAATTTGTAAAAGTAAATGCAATATACTTACTTTGTAAGGGCAAAGGCATAGATGTTTGTTCTGAGTATTACACAATGTATTTGCATTGTGTTACAGTTCTGTTATCACCCTCCCTTCCTGAGATGTATGTGAAGTTTTTTTTTTCTCCCTTCTTTACATTGAAAACATGCCCATTTAATATAAGATACACAGACGTCAGTAGCTGAATTTTGATTTGCTAATGGTTGGTCACCTTGTAAAATGCAGCTGTTCTAAACAGTGAATTGATAACAAAACAGTGAATTGATAGCAAAACAAAGAGGAGTTTGGTTGAATGTCAACCATGATTTACCAATTATTTTTAACAGTAATCTATGTTTCTGATTTTTTTTTTTCTGGGACCATTGAGTGCATAAGAAGAACTACTGTTATGGGGTTCAGGTTGAGGGAAAGAAGAAATCATTCAAACCATGTTGGTTATTCAGCTCACATTGATATATTTGGTATTTGCCTTTTCTATAACTATTATCAGAGATTTCCACTCACATCTCTGCAATTATCCTTTCTTTGGAACTTGGTATTCAAAGACACTACACAAGATATTAGATTGCAGATTAAAGCAGCCTAGTTATCACAAACCAACTTCTATGAGGCTAAGAATATGGATATGTATGTTCCAAGGTTCAAACTCTGACCTTCTTTCTCAACAGACTGCATGCAACTCAGTTTTCCCATTGGCCCTCACCCTGAATGATTGGTCACATCTTATCTGTGTATAAAACAGTCCAGTCCATTCCCATGTATCTTGGTTCTCACCTTGCCAGGTCCAACCATCATGCCAACAATGTTTGGTATGCCAGTCAGTTAGGGGCAAAAACCGTGGCTAATCTCACAAAATTAGGCAGAATTTGACTAGCTTAATAGCTGGATGAGAGATGATCAGAAAATTCCAAGGGAGAAGGAGGAGGGAGGAAGGAGGGAGGGAGGAGGAGGAGGAGAGAAGGAGGAAGAGGAGGAAGATTCCGTATTGTTGCTGAGAAAACTACATGATGTGCCTGTGAAATTACCAGAAGTCAAGATCAACTCAGAGGAGACTTTGCCTTTTTATTTATCATGGCTAAAACAAAGTGAGATACTCCTTTATCAAGTTGACTGTGGATAACATTTTATACATCTTATTAAATGTTTTTCCAGTAGGGAGGAAAATAGTTCCAACTATTTTATGCATGGATGATAGATACTGTTTTCCAGGAATGTCTTAATAGTATCATGCCTATTTCCTTATATAAGAGCCTTATTTACAAGGAGCATGTTGAAATGGTGGGACAGGTTTGAGCTACAGCTCATGTGACTGCTGCTTGAGTTAACACTATTAATCCTTTGACCAGGGTTGAATGGATTAATAGAATAGGGGATGTTATGTATGATGGGCAGGGCAAGCCTCAATCATATTGGAGCTCTGACACAAATACATTGCTCTGCTGGTTTGCAAACTGGCAAGAGAGAATCAAGAAAGAAACAATATTAGTGTTCCTTTCTTTTTAGTTGCTATTGCTAAAGACTAAAAATCCTTTAGGAGTGACAGGAGGGAATTGATTTGGGCCAGCCAAGTAGGGGTGCCTGGATGTTTGGTAGATGGTCCTCAGTCCTTATAATCACTTGTTTCTTAACTCCATCTTGAAGCCTTCCTGATGTCAGAATTTCAGGGTTGGGTATAGAGACCTCTGTAGGTTTGAAGGTTTTTACCAAAATGATGAAAGCAGAATCACATCACCACAACACAAGCTCTGTCCCTTTTGTATATCACAATGCACATCTGAAAAGGATGGAGCTGATGGCATGATCTCCTTTCATGAATAACGAAACCCTCTAACCAATTTGCAACTCCTGGAAATTTTTATTTAGGTATTTCTCTAGCGTGGCATTTCTGCAGGGGTGGTCAGTGCCTTTGAAAGAAAAGCAATGGTTTGAGAAAGTGGAGTTGGACATCCAGTATCATATTCAGCTTTTAAGTGTAACATATGTATAACATTGACTGTATCTTTGCAGTTTTTCTGAGCAAGCAACACGCAGTGAATTCTTCTGGGCCTTCATTTTCATTCACAAAAGACAAAATTCATGTAGGAGTAGTAATCTTGTTTTGGCAACCCTAGTTGTGCTACCTAAGCTGACCTTTGTGAAAAAAAAGAAATGAGGGGAAAGCAAGAATAGCTTGGAACGTTGTGTTAACAGTTCAGAAAAACTTGCAGCTGAATGCTCCCTCTGTGCTTTATTGTACAAATGGAACAGTAGAATGGAACAGGAAGTCATTTGCATGTAGTTTGAAGGTTTTCATTAGGGAAGCTGTTTACAAAGACATGGAAATGGGGGAAAAAAAATAAAAACAAATGTGCAGTGGACTCCTGGCCCCAGTGCCCAACTTCCTAGTAACTATTCACTAATAAATGTGTTGATGTAAGACCGATGTTTTCCTACTTTGAATTTGTGAATCTGTTGTCAGATATTTGGAGTCTGATCCATGGATTGGGAGCCTTTTGTAGGTATATGTGTGTGTGTGTGTGTGCCTGGGTGTGAGAATCCCATGCATGTAGCCACACACTACTAGATTGGGCAGAGTCCCAAAGTTTCACCTTGTAGGGCGGTGGAGTAAAATGGGTGCATGAAATGTAATGGAGGGTAACACGACATTGTTGCTTTGCCAAAATCTTAAAGATGTGTTTCCAAACAGTATGTCTGCAGGAGGAGGTGTGAAAAGGGAAGAAGGTGGCCATGACTGCTGTGGATTGGCCAACCATCGCCCTCATGCAGTTGTGGCTTTAAAGGAACTTAGATCTGACTTTGGGAAGAGGAAGAAATGGACAAGCTATTAAGATTGATGTCAGCTCCTCAAAGTAGGTCAGGTCAAGCAACAGGCATGATAGGGATCCAAGGAATGCTTTTTATTGTAGTAAGGTAGAAGAACAGAATCTTGATAGCCTGTCCAAATTCCCCTTTGTCCCATCATCTGTTAAGCAAAGTCAAGGTGGAGTTATGTTAAGCTTCTTTCTCATACTTCTCTCTATCTCAAGACAGTGGCATCTTTTCTGCAAGTCCCACCTTGACAGCTTGCTCCTTGGTTCCCATCCCCAAGGTCACTTCTTAATTCCTTTACAGTGGCTGCCACACTGACTTTTTTTATCCCCTCTGCCTGCCACCGCTGACATTGTTGCCAAATGTCAGCTGGGGAGCTGGACCAGAATGCAGGGGATGCTGAAAAAAAAGGGACTGTGAGCTCCAGGCGTGCTGAGAGATTTCAATTGCACACCTCTGGTCTCATCAAACATATCGGTGGACTTTCACCAGCCAGTTATTGCAAAAGAAACAAGGGGAGAGAGGATACTTCTTTAAATGTTGGTGTTGTGTTTTTGGTCTTCAGATTGCCTTTTTAAAGTGTGTCCTATGAACCGATATTCTGCACAGAAACAATACTGGAAAGCTAAACAAGCCAAACAGGGGAACCACACAGAAGCAGCTCTGTTGAAGAAACTGCAAGTAAGAGGCGCTGAGCTCCTGGCTGGCTTTCTATAGCACGCAGAACCTTGCTTTGTCTAAAGATGGTTGGTTAAGAAACCACAACTGGTTGAGTTCATACATCCGCAAAGCCAAAAGAACTGGAGCCACGTTGTGGTTTAAAACAGTGTTTCTCAACCTTGGCAACTTTAAGATGTGTAGACTTCAACTCCCAGAATTCTGGGAGTTGAAGTCGACACATCTTAAAGTTGCCGAGGTTGAGAAACACTGATTTAGACTGATGTAAGAACTTAATCTTTGCATGTAGCTTTTGGCTTGTGCAGTGATTAGTTAGTTAGTTTCTACAGCAAGGCCTATATGGTTACTCTCACCAAATGTGGAGAACCCAACAGCACTCTTTTGTGTTTTTGGAGAAAGTTGGTCTAATCCCCCCCCCCCATATTTAGTGACCTTGCAACTTTCCCCCCATTCATTCATTCATTCATTCATTCATTCATTCATTCATTCATGTTTCAGGCCACAAATATGTGATTCTTGGCGGTTTACGTAGACTAAACCATCCACGGCATATTAATAAAAGAACAATTGAATTCATGAAAGCACGTTTATCATTGATTGAAAACTGGAGCAGTATAGAAACAATTCCTGCCGTGCTGTCCTAACTAATTAAAAACCGTTCTGGAAGAGCTGTTTTAACTTGCTGCCAGAAAGTCATCAGGGTCAGGAGAAGATAAAAAAGTAACGAATAAACACATGGGACTTATGCATGTTGACAGGCCCATGACACCATCAGTAAGAAATGACTATTCCCCCCCCCCCACTCTTTTGCCAGAGGTCCCAGCTTTGAGTGGCTGGTGATTACACTTGGGTATATTTTTTAATTTTAATTTTACATTATTTTGTTTTATCTTATTTTATTTTACTTCACTTTATCTTACCTTAGCTTCTCCCATCCCATCAGTCCCATTTTCTGAGAATGCCTTTGGGGTTTATGTAGGGAAACAAAAGTGACGCTGGAACATAACTTTGTCGCTGGCAATCTCTCATTATTTAGGCAGGCAGGAAAAGGATGCAAGAATTTGAACACTGATTTTATATTCATTCCTAATGGTTTCCTAAGCTTTTCTACAGCGAAATTGTAGAAGTTCTTGGGTTCTGGTGTGCCTGTTAAATTGGTTTTAGTCCAGCTTGCTTGGGGGTGGTTGGGATCTATAAAGCAAAGCAAAATGAGAGAGAAAGTAATAAAGACCAATAGAAGTAATAAAGTAATAAAGCAATAAAGTAATAAAGAGTGAATGTTTCACGTGAACAATTCCAAACTTGTGCTCAGCAGGATAAACATGTGTTTAAATTCTATAGAATGGAGGAAAGTCGAGATGGATGGATGAATGGATGGATGGATAGATAGATAGATGAGAGAGATAGGTACATAGATAACATAGGCAGTGGAATGCCTTCCAGATATTGGGACTTCAACCTCCATAAACCCTATTGGCCATGTTGTCTTCAAATTATGTTTTGGGGGAAGCTTCATCTAGACCAGCAATTCTCATTTTGATCTCAGGACCCCTTTACATTCTTAAAAATGATTGAGGACCCCAAAGAGCTTTGCTTTATGTGGGTTACATCTATCAATATGTAGTGTATTAGAAATTAAAACTGAGAAATGTTAAAATGTTTATTTATTTGACTTTGTGGACCTCCTGAAAGGGTATCAGGGATCCCCAGGGGTCCCCAGGCCACACATTGAGAACTGCTGATTTAGAGGCTAATCTTGAAGGTAATCTTGGGCTTCAACCGAACTCAACTGAACTGAACTGAACTGATTGACTTGCAGCACGCAGCTGAACTGGAACAAAAGCAGAATGAATGTGAGAACCGGAAGTTGCTGGGTGAAATTGTGAAATACAGCAATGTCATCCAGGTGAGTGTTCAAAAGCCACAAAGAGATTGGGTGTTCATGGAAAATTAAATGAATTTTATACATCACACCATGCCAAATAGTTCTGGTTCAGCTCTACCCTGGGAATTCCAGGCCAGATTTTATGATCTCTGAAATCCTTAAGAAGTGTCTTGATGACTGCTTAGAAACAAACGAGGAGAACAGATACTTTATGGCTATAATAAGCAAAAAGATAAGTAATTTAGCAGGTACCACTTTCCTTATCCCTGTATGACAAGCCATAAGTATCTCAGGATGGAGTTTTTTCTCTTCATTAATTTGATTAACAAAACACCATGTATATGTGTAACGCTAGATAAGTACTATATTTATTGCACATATATCCAGGAACTCAAAATGGAGTACATGGGGTATGAGTCTTCCCCTAATTATCTCACAGCAGCCCCAAGTTGACTGGCCTGTAGTAACCCAGTGAGCACCATGATTAAATGGTGGCTTACTTTGGTCTTCCTGGTCCAAATCTAACACTTTAAATTTAGAACTGTTGAAGGTACAAGAATTTGCTGCTGCTTCTTTTTTTTTAAGACATTCAGTCATCATCAGAACATTGGATAGGAGGAACCTTTTGGAAAAAAAACTAGTAAAACATTCTGATTGTTAGGTGGTTTATAGACAAGGAAAATTAAATGAGGAAATAGGAAGTAAATTTGCCACCTCAAAGCTTTGTAGTGACGGAATAACCTGCTCTAATGGTGGCTAAGTAAATTTCCATTGTTTTGCAACTAATATTTAGTTAATCAAAGATGTCTGAAAAAGCCAGAGTGACAGCAACATGACATTGTGTGTTGTGACATCACCCAAATGATGCAAGTGACATACTTGCATCATTTTGCATCATACTGCAGGTTCATAATTTGGGCCATTTGTTGTGGAGAATCAGTATTATTTGCAACATGAGGGCTGTAAATCAGGCCAGCTTATATTGTGGTTAGCAAGGTTCCTGATCCCATTCTCATTGCAGTAGACAGCAAAAAGCAAGATATTTCCAGCATAGTGGACACCTTGTGTTGAATCATAACCAAATTGTTGAATCTGAATGGATGTATCTTATTTATTTTTATTACTGGCAGCTCCTTCATATAAAAAGCAACAAATACCTTACCGTCAATAAAAGATTGCCAGCTTTGTTGGAAAAGAATGCCATGCGGGTCTCTTTGGATACTGCTGGGAATGAAGGCTCCTGGTTCTACATCCAGCCCTTTTGGAAATTGCGAAGTGAAGGGGACAATGTAAGTGAGTGAAATATTGCTGGAAGTAATCAGGAAGATGCTAGAATATTGTCACCTCTGTAGCCAAAATCATTCTGGAAACAAAATGTATAACCCTTGTTGTCTTTCCTTTGTGATGTGTGAACATCTGGTCCATTGCATCTTGAGA